TAGGGACCAAAATATAATAGAGATATAGTGACCCACCCCCCAACCCCCCCGCCCCCTTTGAAAGCAGGAAAATTTTTCACAACCATCTTATGATAAAAGAGCACATTATAATTAATTCATTGAGCTCAAGCAAATATAAAAAAACAGGAGGCCGCAGTATTTGCAGTTAAAAAATAAACAGTACTTTTCTGTACTTTATGTCAGCATTATATTTTCTCTTTTTTTAATAACAAAACTTTTTTTATTGACAACAAAAAAAATGAAAACAGCATTTTGTTCAGTTTTAACTTTTTGTTAAATAATGAAAAGAATGAACATGCATGATTGATTTTGCCAGCAGGGCAAAAATACACATACTATGAATAATTAAAATGTACAAAAAAAATTGCAAAATCTAAAAATAAATTAATAAAGTCTTTTGAAGTAATTTAATTCATATGATATTCAGACAGCAGTGCAATTGCTTCATTAAAAAAAAAAAAGTAAAGATTTAGTTTATTTAGTTTAGTTGTATTGCCTGCACAGCTTTACATAAACAGAAAATCTAGTGTAAAATAACGTAATTAATTACGTACTAATGAATTGTGCACAATGACACCAAGGACATTTATTAAAGTAAATAGGGTCAACTTTGATTTCTTCTTTTGTAAAATCACATCTTTTTGAATACAGAAAACCATAAAGCAACGTTCTAACAGCCTGTTTCTGATCCTTTACATTAGGTTACAATAATTTAACTTTAGTTTTTTTTCCTTTAGATTGCTACACTCCACCCAAACAACTATGTATAAAGAGGAAGCCGTTTTTTTTTTTAAATACACCACATTGATCAGACAGCTCCACTGAACCAGAGGCCTTCAAAGGGCACGGCTGATATAAACACAGCACTGAAGAGTACACTGATACCCACACACACGGTGAGATGGCCAGACGAATCAAACACTTTCACCAGCCTCACAATGAGCAGTGTTGGGTGGAGGTGGTCAAGAGGACCTGGAACCAGGCCTGTCTGCTGCTACTTGATGTCAACAACACTGCACTGTTGACCTTGACCCCAGCCTGGTGTCCCGTTCCCCTCAGATGGGGAGGGGCAGAGGGGGTGCGCGGGAGGGGCGCGATTCTCAACCATACAGGATTTCCTCACTCTAACCTATTGTTAAGGAGCCGGGTAGCCTCAGGAGCCCCTCACTATAACTCAACTATATGTGTGATCCATGATCTTTATGGTCTATTTTGTTGTAGTGGCACCCAGATATTCCATGGAACAACAATAGAAGCATTTCTTAATGTCCATGATGGACTGAAGTTACAGCGATGATGTTAAGGTGTTTTCAGGTTGCTGCTTTATGGTTGCTAAGGTGCTCTGAGTGTTGCTAGGATGTTTTGAGTGGTTACTGGGTGGGCTTGATGGCCCAAGTCAAAATAGCCCACCCTCAAGTCTACATGGGACCATTCATACTTTATTAGACATGCTTTTTAAATGGCATGTTATGTGCTAACCTGTTTAAACCCACCATGTGTGAGACTTTAGCAATGGATGTTTTTCCATTGAGTATGTCATGTTTTTCATGAATGCTGAGTCAAAATTTAAACATTTGTTGCAGACAACTGCATTAAAAAAATCAGTAAACATTGGCCTGTGCATTGTTTGCTGTTTGTCTTTGCGGGTACCACAGTTAAGCAACAAATACAGACCTATGAAAACAACAATGACTGGTGGAAAAGTAATTAGCATTGCGCGGTATTAATTTTGACAAAAAAAAATGTGATTCATATATTTATAAACTACCGTTCAAAAATGTGGGGTCAGTAAGGGTTTAAACATTTTCATTTAGAAATGTTACATTAGATTGATCAAAAATTACATTTGTAATGTTACAAAAGATTTCTATTTCAAATCAATTCAGTTCTTTTAAACTTTCTATGCACCAAAAAATTATTTAAAAAATGATTACCACAAAAATATTAAGCAGCAAAAACGGTTTTCAACATTGATAATAATTAGAAATGTTTCTTGAGCAGCAAATCAGTATATTAGACTGATTTCTGAAGGATCATGTGACACTGAAGACTGGAGTAATGATGCTGAACATTCAGCTTTGAATCATGGAAAAAAAATACTTTTTAAATATATTACAATAGAAAACAGTTATTCTAAATCATTATATTATTTCACAATATTAACTTTTACTGTATTTATTTTTTTTTTTTTACAATGCAATCTTGGTAAGCATAAGAGACTTCTTTTTAAAAATACTTATACTTAAGTATAAGTTAATACTTAAATACATACTGCTCCTAAACTTTTGAACGGAAGTGTATATTTTTAATTTAACAATTTCTTTATCGTGGGAAAAAATACTAGTAGGATTAAAGAACAGGATCAAGAAGTTATGTTTTCTTTTTATATATCAAGCTCAAATTTTTTTTTTTTCAAATTAAGCAAATATTATATAAATGTTAATTTTATTTGAGCAATGTTATGTGTTATTTACTATTTTTTAAGTTAAATCGGGTGATATATTTATAAGCTTTATATCAGCCAACATGCTCTCAAAGTTATCAGTATATAAGATATTAAAATACCACACAACGAAAAATGAAAACCCACATGAAATTCAGTCTGAACAAGGCCCATGATATTCTGGTCTCTAGATTTGGCCTTCCTTCAATATAATTTGGATTTTGGATTCTGTCCTGTTTTATCATCTTTCAGGCGAAAGTCTGATCGCTTAAAAAAAATTAATCATTTGCACTCTTCCAAAAACAAAACAAAAAAAATAGTTACTTAGGATTAGAGATTTTAACAAACCACTAACCTATAGCATGAGTAATAGTAATAGTGATGACTGCCTTAGCAAAGACCACAACTTACGCGACACCCACCTTTACCTGAGCATGAGCCCAACGCACCACTAACTTCTTAGAAAGTGCCAGTTTTCCATTCAGACACTGAATAGCCTGTTCAGCCTCCTGTGATGGACAGAAAACACTGATTATCACAAAGTTTATGTTTTTATGATGATCATAATCATGCATGCATCTATAAACATGTCACTATACTCCGCTGACACTATCAGGATTACAAGAGTGAATTATTTCATGTCTATTTTTGAAATCCTCCATTAGTCTTGTTCAAAGATCGTCTCTGTAGTGTCTGGATCCTGAACCTTCCTGTGTGTGTGTGTGTGTGTGTGTGTTTGTTTGCTACTTTCTAGTTTCTGGCTGTTGCTGGAAGCATGGCGTAATGATAGGGAACAATAATGGCTGATGATGGATCACTAGTTTTCTAAGCTCTCACGAAGGGCATGAATGAGATCTGTAAACACACATTTCCCCTTCAACAACACCCTTGGGACTGCCTCATATTACACTCAAGAGAGCCAACGGTTCCTTATCTGCATCAGCTGTCTGGGTGCCCCTTAAAGACTTGCATATCATTACTGCATCAAAACTGAGACTTCCTTTGGTCGTTTGGGTTGTGAATTCTCAGATGTTGTAAAGAAGAACGAACAGAACCTCTTTGGTGTGGAAGTTGACAAAGCAGTATCCTCTTGGTTGGCCCTCCAGAGGACCTGACTTGTGGAACAGGAAGTCAAACTGCTTCACTTTGCCAAACTTCTCCAGGAGCTTCACTAGGTGGTACCTGCAGGAACACAGAGTGGTTTTATTTTGAAGTCTATTTGCCTTTTTGCAACATACTCCCAAGAAATAGGGGTACGGCACTCATAATGACATAACTAAGGACACTGGAATTATGAGCGATTGCAATCATGATGCTTCCTTTAACAAATGGCACTAATAATTGTACTGATCAAGAATAAAAAAATGAGTGATTAAAGCCACAAGCCACAATAATGCATGTCATGGTATGATAATTCTTTGTTAACAAGGCTTGATCAGAATGACAGGTCTCTTTACACCTTTTTAGCTGCTGTAAATCTTTTATTCACACAATACAAAGGATACAGCAGGGGGACAATGAGGATATAAAAAAGCGGAAGACTGAATTCCCTCAAGAGTTTAATTTAAGACAAACAATTATGACGAGTACAGCTTCTATAACCTGCTGTCATGGAAGACGCAAGTCCCTTATTATTGCCAAAAACAGTACTGATTATTCTGTTACTTAGTGAAAAACTTTGTCCATACAATGAAGGTCGATGGGGTCCAATGTCATTTTGGACTCTACCGACTTCCACTCTATAGACCAAAACAGCTGAAACATTCTTCAAAATATCTTCTTTTGTGTTCTTCAGAAGAAAGAAAGTGATTGGAATATAAAGCAGGTAATTTAAAAATGTTGCAGGACAGATTCAAATTCACAATGCCCACATGATCACCATGGTCCAATGTGTTGGAGCATGTCAACATGCAATGGCATTTGCAACTCATTTGACTGAAAGTGGGATGTGAATCCATCAGAAATTGAATTGATCATGAAAAGTGGGTGTTGCATATACAAGACCAGCCGGCTTGATGTGGTCTCTATATGAATGAACGTTTGGGAAAAAAATAGCGGGTTTGATGACATCAGCCAAAAATGAAAGTCTAGGCGAAAGAAAAGCAACTGGTCAATTCTTCAATACAGCTACGGTATAGGCAGAGAGCTCCCGTAAAACAAGAATCACACTGAACCTGTGCTATTCAAACAAAGAGAGCTTCGTACAAATAGGCTTCGTCAAACAACCATAACCAGAGCATTCAAGAGCAGCCTAGCATGCAGTCCGTGCATAAAAGAGAATGTTTGCAAGTATCCTTGCTTCTGCTTGTTCATCTGTACGTCATCCGAACCGTTAACATTTAATGTGACTTAACGCTGCATGAACACAACTGTATTTGCACCTAAAGTTTTTTCAGTATGTTGGCAAAACAACATCTGACGAAAGCAACGTCAAGGTTCAATGACATGACACTCATTTTTTGTCCAGATCTATGAATTTATCAAAAACACAGTAAAAGTGCAATTTCTACAAACAATTACTTGAAAAACATAAAAGAGATAATAATAAAAAAAAAATTAGGGCATAAATAATGTACAAAACAGCTATGCTATTATAATGAAGAAGAAAAGCCTCATTACAAGGATGAAACTCTGGAAAAGAAAACATTTAAAAAACTTCATGTCATGCGGTGCAACCAGTGTGCAGAAAAATGAAGGGGAAAAACAGGACATGGTATCAACCTCATGACAGTGTGTCAAGGTCAGTAAGTCTTCATCTTGGATGCTCCATACTTGTCATTTAAACTCATCAAGTAAATATGAAACAACTTGTCGCTAGTGTTGGCATCGTCTCCAGTGATTCACCTTGATGTAGGATGATGAATGTGGCATCACATGGACATCCCTGAAACCAAATTCTAAAGACTGAGTAATGCAGTTCAGGAAGGCATTCAAGCATTTCCTTCAGCTGGGAAAAGGCTGGGAAAGCTACAGAACTGAGCATCAGGAATGTGCTCAAGACATGCTCGAGATAAACAACAATACATTTGTGGAACTTCTTGCTATATTGTTGTTCTTCCAACATGACAGCCGGAGCGGTCTGGGAGTTGCCTCCTGCACAGAGACAAGGAGATGCCGGGGATTTCTTTATTGTTTTGGATGGTTGAGGTTATTTTTAATCCTGGAAAGGTAGGAACACAGATAGAACTGGGGGTCCTGGCTTTGGTATTAATGGTTTCCCCTCCTCTCCCAGGAGCTTTTCTCTAATAGTACTTCGCACTTTCCCAGCCACCACCCTCTCAGGCTCAGGCCACGGGATCTTCCTGACTTGCCGCAGATTTAAGAATTGACAGTGTTTCCGATTCAAAGGGACAACCTGTAGATTTTTCTCAGACCACAATGCACGCCCCCAGAGGGCCATAAAATGTGCAGTTGGGAGGAAGAAGGGGTCCGTCCATGGAGCTTGGAGTATTTTGTGAAAGTGTTGATGTGAGCCAAGCATGTCATCTGTTTGGGCCAAAGAAGTCGGAGTGCTGCCCACCCACCTGCAGCCTCTCCCGTTTCAGTATCACTGTGCAGCATGCAGTCGAAGACCTTGAGAAACATTTAGCAGCACAGAATCAGGAAAACAGCACGGATATCAAGGTCAAGGCACGATTCCATCAGACACGTGTCTATTTCAGATGACTGGAGGGTGTGGTCTAAGGCCAGTGCTGTTTTCCTCCTCGGCCATCCCATCGGATAGGCCTCCTGTTCCCTTCTGCCCGCGTATAACGGACAATGCAAAGCAGGCCTCCAAAAGCACAAACAACCTGCGGCACATGGTAGATCCATCACCGGCCCTAAATGGGCCCCAGTGGAGCATGGACAGGTCAATATGTCAGCCTGTTATTACGACAGCAGCTCCTGCTTTGTGTGAACGGCCGCATCCACCACAGGTCTCAACTGTGGGAAACCAAACCTGAAAGAAAGTTTGTATGTTTGTGTCAGACAGACTGTGCATGTGTGATGGGGTGGAGCTCTGTAAATGTTGACGGATGTTTTCATTAGACGGAAAATGTCAAGAAATGTTGTCATCACTGTCCTCAACATGGGTTGGTCGAACTTCAGCACCTGGCATCTGAATGTCACTTAAGCTGCAGGATTAGTGAAGGTGGATCTGACAGATGCCAGAGTGCTTGAGAACTTGTGAAACACCTGTGAGGTGGTATACAACACAGTTCTTTTTAGGCTGTGTCCCATTACACATCCTAGTTCCATATGATGTGAATCTGTACATTGGAAATTGGTGATATCGAGACAGTGATGACTAAGTCTGTGGTGGTGAAACAACTTTTCAGTTTTAAATAGATTTTGACAATGGGACAAGTCTAGAAATGGCTGACTACTCGGGAAGTGTACTTACCTCATTAGCGGATTGAGACACACCCTGGATAGAGCATCGACACTGGGCTGATTCGACAGGTGGAAAGTTTGAGACTCATGCAATTTCAGCAATGTCATGGTGACCAAGCACTGACTATACCACAGATCAGCGTCACACATTTATACCACATTTAAATGGAAAAGAAATGAGAGGAATTAAGCAACTGTGTCCAGAAACTGTAATTTTTCCATCTAGCTTCAGCTTGTGATTAATGTAACGATGATGGTGAAACTTACAGTCAGTAAGGTAGATGGATTAGCACTCAGGAGAGACTGTTTACAGTGAAAGATCAGAATGATTTTCTTTTTGTCTGACTGAAATTTGTTGGTGACAATTTGCAGAACTGTAAATATGTATTTCACAGACTTTTCCAAACCTGTGATGTATTGAGATTAATCATATTAAATAAATGAGGCTGTTTGTGAAGTGATGGAGTGACTGACAAGAAAAAGTGGTTTTTCTATAAAGTACCGTTACATCAGAATCTAAGCATGAAGGCTCACAGCTGATTTTTCCTAGATTTTAATTTCCAAAATGTAACTTGACCTTGCTAATTTATTGCAAACTGACATATGAAAATGGCTTGTTAATGCACAAAGGCCAGGGAAATAACATGAGAATAACATAAGAGAGACAAATGAAGTGTTCATACTGAGTTTTTGTTTTCAATCCCAAAATCTACTGGGTAAACTCACGAAAACCGTCAAGAAATGTCATATTTCACACAAATACTTTGCATTAAAAAATGAAGCTTGTATTTAGGACCACTAAATTATTTTTGGAAAATGTACGGCTTGTGACATTATTTTTATTATAATTATGCACCCCTCCTGCGCAATATTAGGTTTCTATAAATCCCAAAAAAATGTTTTACTACTGTAATACAAATAAAAAATTATTTATGATTTAAATAATAAAAAACACTATACATATAAAAAATAAGTATAATTCATAGTAGTATCTGTTGCATTAAATTGTAATTAAAATAATATCCCAGTGCAAAATAATAAATAAATAAATAAATATAAATGGTGTTTATTTACTTAATAAAAAAACACAGGCTTTTTTTTCTTTTGATTTTTGGGTAAAATATAATAGACATTTTAGCGCAAGATTCACCTTATTATGAGATCTGCCATATTAAGCTATGTGGGCAACCTGAGTTTGATCCCATTCTGCTGCTTTCTGCCTTATTTTCCTGCCCTCTCCCTACTATGCTTATCAATAAAAATTTCAGGAACAAGATCAGGAACAAACACTGCATGTGAATGGGTTGGCTAAGGTCCAGTTTACACCTGGTACTACAGCTTGAAGCATGGCATTAGCAGCACCAGCACTGACCACTAGTTGTCAACAAATATTCTGCAAAAGCCAATATATCGACTGATATTTGACATATATTTAAAAATTTTAAAAACACAGATGTGAGTGTAATCTTTAAACTCTTGACTTCAAACTATGCTGAGTTACATCCAGTTTGCTGATATGTCATATGTCAAAGTGTACTGTATATAAAATTAGCTTTACCTGGTTTTTATTTGAGAAAATAGGATTTCCAGTGCACATAAACTTAACAGAGGTTGGTTACAGTGTTTACTTCCTTTTTATTCATGTTTAACTATTTTCTTTTATTTGCGCAAATTAAAATTAGTAAAAAAAAAAATGTTAACTTGTAAAATTAATAATATCAAATAAGTTCAAATTATTTTTTTCATATTGATTCATTTCAGATAATTATTTACAATTTTGTAAATATGTTAAATCTAAATTTAATTGCAGCAATTGTTATGCATGGCATGTTAAATTATATAGTGTAAAATCATATTTATTTATATATATATATATATATATATATATATATTTACATCAGCCATTGGTCACCCTGCTCTCTAAGATCGGTTATCAAACAAAAAAAAAAAATCCATAAGTCCATATCGGTTGATTACTACTGACCACTTGTTTTTGGATGACCAACAGAACATATTAATAGGCGTAAACAAGACCAAAACGCCTAACCATTGTAAAAGGTCATTGCCACCAATTCCTCAAAGTTTTTAACTCATCTTCTTGGTTTCTTCATAAATCTCACTGTTGATCTGTCCACAGCTGCTACAGTGCAGTACCTAAAGTACCTTTTCACCTCCCAACTCAATTACTGCTCTCAATTATCCACTTACTTGGAAACCCCAGGAAAAAGTTGCCTTTGGGTGAACGCTGACCTCACATAGCAGGGCTTCACCACTGTGTGCCTGTGTGTGTGTGTGTTTGTGAGAGCGAGATCTGCAGGACCCTAAAGTGGAACTCGCTACTACAAACACTCCCAGCATGTGAACTAATTAATCTTCCCAATCACCAGCCTGTGGGCATCACGGCTGTTTTCATTCAAGCAGGTTATTTAAAGAAAAGCAGAGGAGAGAGAGGGAAGGAAACGCCTGTCTAGACGCCAGCCCGGGCAAGCCATACATTTTCCAGGGGCGCTCCAGCAACGTGTGCTATTTCTCTCGTGCTTCCCTTCTGCGTCACCCAGCCACCCCCTCTCCACCTTGAGCAGCCGCTACAGGTTCACTAAGTAAACACGCCAGGTGAATGAGAAATGATGGCAGCCCCTCAGCAAAACAGGTCTCCATGGCCGAGCGGCTCTCTTTAACACGCCTTATCGTCATCTGCTCATTCTCCAGCACAAAGACACACTTGGCTAATCAATCACCCGGGCAGCTCCGCAGGTCTGCCTGGGAGGCAGTGCAGGGCTGGCTTACTGCACAGGCAAACACTCACTCTGTGATTTTGGGGTCAATGTTGCCGATCCAGAGCCGATGACCGTCCTGTGCCGAGCCACCTGAGAGGATGGAGGCATTCTCCACAGTCTCTGCAGCAGACTGCATTAGGCTCCTGAGAAAAGACAGAGAGAGTTTCAGTGACATTCAGATAAGTATGTGCCACAGAAATATATACATATATGATGTGTTTGAATATATATGTAACTTTCTTCTATCTATCTATCTATTTGATTATGTCTATCAATCAATCAATCAATCTGTCTATCCATCTGACTGTCTACCTATCTAACTGTCTAACCAACCAAATAACTACCTATCTATCTGACTGTATCTAACTAACTAATATATATATATATATATGACTTTCTATCTATCTATCTATCTATCTATCTATCTATCTATCTATCTATCACTCAATCAATCAATCAATCTCTATCTATCTGACTGTATCTAACAAACTAATATATATGACTTTCTATCTATCTATCTATCTATCTATCTATCAATCAATCAATCTGTCTATCCATCTGACTGTGTCTACTTATCTAACTGTCTAACCAACCAAATAACTACCTATCTATCTATCTGACTGTATCTAACAAACTAATATATATGACTTTCTATCTATCTATCTATCTATCTATCTATCTAACTTTCTATCTGTCTATCTATCTATCTGTCTATAGATCTGTCTAACCAACCAACTACATATCTATCTATCTGACTATGTGTGTATCCGTCTGACTGTATCTAACTAACTAAATATATCTGACTTTCTATCTGTCAGTCAGTCAGTCAGTCAGTCTATCTATCTAGACAAAAGTATATATACACATGATAACATATCACATTTACAACTGATCTGATTGGCAGCCATAAAAGCTTTTCTCAACATTTCTTCTCAAACGTTTTCATTATAAGACATTCTGTTATGAGATTGTGATACATGCAGAACAGTTTTATTTTAGGACCCTTAGTGTGGAAAATAATAATTAATATTACGTTAAATGCAGTATGAAGGCGATAATAACGTCAGCGATATTTTACAAATCATATAATTCATAAACAAGCACATTTAGTATGCAAACACTGTCATATTATAGAAAAACTGTAACTGATAAATAACATAAACCTAGCCGAGAAATAATTAATTGTACATATGTGAATGGTTGTTGTGCTAACAACTAGCAAGCAATGTAAACAGATTACATAGATTAGCAGAGCACTCACCCTCCTCTCTTGTTCCTCTCCTCTGCTCTTTAAAACTAAACCAAAGATACTGTGTATAAAACTGGATGGCAATGCCTCAAATCCTAAAATTCATCCCGTATATCTGCCACACGCACGAGTCAGACAAAACAACTGAGTGAAGCCCGTTAGCTTAGCATTCATAACGTCAACAACGGCGCCGGAGAGTGACGTTGACAACCTGTTCTGATGACGCAAAACACTAAAATGCGATGACGTGTGCCCTTGAGCTGCGCAGGCTGCCCATGATGTCAGAGAGGGACTGTGCTGCAAGCCATGCCTGCTTAGACACTTTGCTACATGAGGAAAGTGAGTATGTGGGAATTACCCTTGCATTGTTTGTTACATTAGAGGGTTTAATTTATTTGTAGTCGCTATGTATGTTTTTGTTTGTAACAATGTGTGGGTTTGATTTCTGTACTGTTCATAATGTAGCCTAGCAGCTTGTCTGTGCTGAAACAGCATGGAACATTCGTATTCCTTGTAAATGATTCCTTGGGTAATGCTTGGAAACATTGTTATTAATACCACAGGGCATAAATAAATGGAAGGCAAAGGAAAGCACGTGTTGCTGTTTTAGTTTCAGAACATAATATCTATAAATCATTGGTTAAAATGTTACAGGTTTATGAAGTTGAAGATGGATAATTGTTTCCTTTTTTTACTAACTCAGGCTTCTGTTCTTTAAATGTTCCCTTTTATCTCTTTCCTCTCATAAATGATGGATCAAAAGCTTAAACCCGCTTGCTTCTCATTACTGTGTGGAAAACACTAATTTAATTAGCTAAAGGTTTTAGATTAAAAAAAATAAACTGGAAAATAAACTGAATGCACTGAGAATAGAACATTTGTAAAATGAACACTGTTCAACCAGTTTTATAATGATTATATATTATAAATAATTGGACATGATTATTATTTTTGCAGCAACTCTCAACTCTCTATTTTAATGTTGTTTGTTTGTTTTGTTTTTTAATTAAAGGCATAGCTCATATCATGTCATTATTTATTTACCCTAGTTTTATTTTTTTTATTATTCTTTTTATTTATTTCTTATTTTATTTATTTGTCATTTTAAATGTAATATTTAATAACAATTAATTTATTAAAAAAATACATTGAAATATTTCTTTAATAATGACTTTAATAAACATTTTGTATAATAATTTTTTTTTTCTGAATTAAGATTCATTTTGATCTTTTGGGACATAAATACCATACTATATATCAAAATGAAAATAAATAAATTAAAAAAATGTTTTGTTTTTTTTTTCTTTGCAGCAACTGTATTTCAAGGCTTGTTAATTAAAAGCATAGCTCACCTAAAAAGCAATATCATGTCATTATTTATTCACCCTCATGTATTCATCTTCATTTTGCCGGTTGAACACAGAATGTTCACGCTGCTCTTTTCCATACAATTCAAGTGAATGGTGACCAAGGGCTGCTAAAGGAGTAGTTCACCCAAAAATCATTCTGTGATTCTCTGTGACTGGAGTGGTGTGGATTATTGTGATGTTTTTATCAGCTGTTTGGACTCTCATTCTGACGGCACCCATTCACTGCAGAGCATCCATTGCTGAGCAAGTGATGTAATGCTACATTTCTCCAAATCTGATGAAGAAACAAACTCATCTACATATTTGATGGCCTGAGGATGAGTAAACATTCAGTAAACTTTCAATTTTGATTGAACAATTCCAACCCTTGATTACCATTCACTTCTTACATTGTAAAAGAGCAGCATGAACATTCTGCTAAACATCTCTGTTTTCAACAGATGAAATTAAGGTGAATAAATAATGACATGATATTTCTTTTTGGCCAAGCTATGCCTTTAATTAAAAAGCTTTGAAATACAGTTACTGCACAATGTCAGTTGCGAGCAGTGGCTTATACATCATGAAATACAACCACTGGTTTACATTACCGCAACCAAACTGATATGCAACACTGTCTCAGTTTTTAGCGTTCACCCTGTAAACGAGCTCACGCAATGAGGGTATGCCAACCGCTCTCATTCCTACCGGTACAAATCAAACGGCGGCGCACTGTAATCCACAGACCACCTGTGCAACAGTTTTTCTGCTTGACGGCCTCTCTAAAAACTGCCATCACCTCTTCTCCATCCACACCCCGTGGACCAAAACACCCGTGTCGGACAACTCCCATCTCCTAAGGACGACAAGAAGAGTCACGCTTTTCATTTTTTGATCTGCGTCTAACAGCTGCGGCTCCCATTGAACCTGCAACATGCATCATCAAGATCCGATAAAAATCACAGCTTGTGCGTGTTTGGGGAAAAGCTGTAGACCCATGCCATGAAGTTATCTTTATCACAGCAACTGTAAAAACACACGACCAAACTGGTTTCAGTAGCTATCCTTTGGAGAAGCAAAAGCCAGGCTGTATTTTGACTAGCAGGATACCTCATGCTAGACAAAACAAAGAAGCAATCACAGAGGCGCAAGCAACCCGTGAGCGAGCTTGTTCCAGAGCACCTGCAGAACAGCGCTGTTGTTACAGTCCACGCTGATAAACAACCACCGTTTGAAGATTTATGCTACTAAATGAAACGGCAGTGACACGCATTGCAGGACTCCGAGTCTCCACTAATGAGCTGATGAGTTGAATCAGATGTGTTCGATTAAGGAGACATCCCAAATGTGCAGTGTTGGGGGACCTCCAGGACCAGGATTGAGGAGCACTGCCCTTACCCTGAGTATTAAACTCAGCACTGTTTGTGCTACGGACATGAATGATACGTCAAATCGTGCGGCTGCAGGGGACTTGTGCTATTACTTTTCTAAGCCATCAGACTTACAATTTTCACCTGGCGGACTATAAACAAGTTTGAAAAATGTATAAACCTACATTGAAGAAAGGTTAAAGCCATATCAAGGGACTAGAATATCATAGAAGGGTGGACTCTTTTGACTTGAGCCAGGAAGAAACCACCCAGAACATGCTAGCAACATAATAAAAGCATACTAAATTGCTAAAATGCCATTGTGGTGGCAACAGTTTGCATACACATTTTATCTGAAAATTAAAAAAAAAAAAAAAAAAAATTTGAGATAGATTGTTACATATATTATATATAATATTTTACATTTTTTATTAATTTAATTTAAATATTTTAATAATTAAAAAAATTATATTTTAAAATGGCAATTAACACAATTAAAAAACACAAAATTAAATTTAATTAAAATATTAAAAACAATTCATAAATACAGTGAAAAAATGAATATTTTATAATAACAATTAATTAACACAATTAAAAAAAAACACAAAATTTAATTTAATTAAAATATTAAAAACAATTCATAAATACAGTGACTTAAATAAAGCCTTTGTATTATCCATTTATTTTTAGTTTTCCTAATTAAAATGATGTTTTATATTTCAAATAAAATGGGATATAAATAATTACCATAATTTAAAAACTTTTTGAGGTCCAAAACATATTTTTAAAGTTTTTTTTTTTTTAAGTAATTTGGGATTGTTTTTTTTATTAAGCAGTGAAGCAGTTAATTTATTTTAAAGATTTGAAAAACATTCCTTCACCAAATCGAAGTGATGTGGCACGACCAACATGTAGAAAACAAAAGATACTAAAATTAATAATTAAATAAAAATGAGTATTCAAAAAGGTGTTATTCAAATTTCAAAGTGAAATTTTATTTTTTTCTTGATCACAAGTACATTTTCACATGACATTTTCTGAGTCATTACATTTAACCTCTTTAAAAATTATATAAATGTTTTTATATAAAACCAACATGTATGCAGTAAGTTAATTTCTATGAACTTTGCACATGCATTTTAAAGTAGATGTTTCAAAAATTGTTTCTTTTCTTAATCTTGAACACTCTTATTTGTCATTGATCCACTTGTATTTGTGCTCAAATGACAATCGCACTATTTCAGAAAGTATAGCTATGCTTTTGAGTTCATCTTGACTGTATTTATGAAATTATGGTTTGCTTTTTTGTCCCTGTATGGGTCTTTTTTAGATTTTAGAGACGCCCCCTGGTGGAAATGTTGAATGTTAGCCAGTGTCTAATGTTCTTTGTTTATTTTTTTAATTTTATTTTTTTTTACAGATCTTCATTTTCTTATGGAGTATATAAAAATATATGTTTGATGTAGAGTTGCTCTACGTGTTTATCATCCTTGCGTTAAATAATTTTACCTCCATTTTCTTTAGTATTGTAACCACAGACATGGCATTGAGTCATCTCAACCTCCTGCGACCAGTATTGTGCAGATTTCTGCCCTCCGTTGTGAGGACCCCGCTAGTGACTAGTTCAAGAGTCCCCTCTCTGCCCCACGCGAGCTGTCCCACGGTTCTGCCGAATTATGTCCGGCATTATGCCACAAAGAAGAGTAAAGGTGAGTGCAGCACGGCCGCTACTTATCCCTCACAGAGCCACAAGAAAGAACGTCCAGCATAGGGGTAGGAGTGGATATAGTGTTTGTTTTCCATAGCAGTGCTTGTTTAGGATCACTCAAGTGGGCTTAGAGCCCATATGAAGGGAGGAGAAATTCCCTCTTTCCCCGTCTGACCTCCAAATCCTGCTTTCATTTGTAATTGCTAAGACAATCAGCCAGCATGCTGGTCACAGTCTTTCATTTCTATCTCCAGTTCTTCTTTTGAAGCCATCAGTGATGAAGACATTAATGTTTCTTTCTTCTTTGTTGTTGTTTTTTTTTATATGTTAGCAAAGGCAAAAGGGCAGACAGCTAAAGTGAACATCAATGCTGCATTGGTGGAGGATATTATCAGCCTGGAGGAGGTGAAGGAAGACATGGCTGCTGTCCTGACTACTCTGAAAGAAGATTTCAGCCGCAACCTCAGCATTCGCACATCACCAGGTCAGGGCCTTGCGAGACACTGACACACAGGCAGTTCTGTGCTTTTAACCTGATGCTGTGAGTGTGACGCTTGGGTCAAAATTTGACTAGCCCCCACAGGTAGATTTTATTACTACACCATCTGGCTGCTTCTTGGAAAGTCATTCAAAAATATGTGAATATCCTGATGAAATACATTCTTTTGCAAGCAACATTTAACTCATAAATATTTCATTATATTATAATGGATGTATTATCAGTGTTCAGTTATTTTTGGAGCGCTCTTAAAAGCATTGAACTGGAATTGGCAAGACCTCACAGAAGTTGAGTTAGAATGACAAAGTGGAACTGACTGAATTGCAACTGATAATTCTACACCGTCACACAACAGAGGAATTACATAATTCATTTTGACTAATTATGCCTATTTTGTCACTGATATGTAGAATACATTTGTTTCTCGACAGATTTCTCTTAGTTTCAAATTTCAATTCTGTCAAAACAGTATTATGAATTTATTTTGGCTACAGCACCACAAAATGGCCATTTTATTTTATTCAGACCTTCATTTCAAAGTTGAATCAATTTATTTACTATTATTATTATAATAATAATTATAATTTATGTTATAAATACATTAAAGGGGTCATATGATGCGATTTCAATTTTTCCTTTCTCTTTGGAGTGTTACAAGCTCTTGGTGCATAAAGAAGATCTGTAAAGTTGCAAAGACTAAAGTATCAAATCCAAAGAGATATTCTTTATAAAAGTTAAGAGTCAACCACACCTACCTAAAACGGCTCGTTCTAACACACCCCCACATGTCTACCTCACTATGTGGGAAGATTTGCATAACACCGCCCAAATGTTCACGCAAAGAAAGGCGGCGTAACTTTGATTCTCGCTGTAGTATTGTTGTTGCCGCCATGTCGTGAAGACGCTGTGTTTCGTTGTGAAAGCGAAACTACTTTGTTTGGTCTTCCAAAAGAGGACGATATCCGCTTCGTCATGCCTAGAGCTGATCCGTGCTGGTCGCTGAGGAAATACATCAACTTCACGCTGTGGATCGCTGGATCGGCTTTCACCGTGGACGAAGCGGAGTCCAGCCCGGGGTCGTCACATGTGGTTGCCGCAAGCCCACCGGCCTCCGCTCACTCAAGCCACCGGCTTTTTGGAAGGACACGACTAGAAATCAGTAAAGTTGTATTTACAACACTGTTCCAGAACAGTTCAACATTCAACCCAAATATTAAGATGTGTGCAGCGCATTTTATGGAGGACTGTTTCCTGATCCTGGTAGAGTAGACTACAATGCCGGCTGTTCTGACTCACAGTCTGTAAGTACGTTTTCATTTAAAGGATTTGCCACTGATGACTCAATCGAGTTTTGGGCAGTGTAGAGTAGCGCTTGTTGTTCGTCATTTCTCCGATCACAAATGCAGACAAGGTTTTATGTTTACGCGGCGCGATGCAACGCAGCGCGTAAAAAGACAGTATAAGTCATTATAATCCGTAATTATGTCCACACTGGATGCAACAAATGCCTCGTTTGTAATGGGTGTTATTGGTTTTGTCTTGTCGCGCCGGGACACGGCATCAGGGGCGTAACATTTCCGTCACACGCTTGAGGTATTCGGCCAATCACAATGCACTGGATAGCTGGCCAATCACAGCACACCTCGCTTTTCAGACCGATGAGCTTTGTAAAAGTCGACGCGTTTCAGAAAGGCGGGGCATAGAGGAGAAACAATAATGTACAGTATGTGGAAAATAATGTGTGTTTTTAACCTTAAACATAATAAACATAAACACATTTCATTACACCAAATACACAAAATAATGTCCTTTTTAGCAACATTATATGACCCCTTTAAATACCTCATGTTTGATTTATGATAATGTGTGGTGACATGTTTATAGATAATTTATACTAAAAATATGTATTAAAATTGTACAGTTACAGCATATTTTTGAATTTAATTCCAAAATTGAAACAAATCTTATCCTAAATTTAAGAGCTTTTTAGCCATTTGATGATATCTAATATATTTTTATATTTATGTATTTTCATCAGAATTAAAATGTTTATTGCAAGAAAAAAATTATGTAAAAACTACTTAATGAATTAAATAATTAATTGGTTAAAGGGGTGATATGACGTTGCTAAAAAGAACATTATTGTGTGTATTTGGTGTAATGCAATGTGTTTATGCGGTTTAAGGTTCAAAAAACACATTATTTTCCATATAATGTACATTATTGTTTCTCCTCTATGCCCCGCCTTTCTGAAACGCATCGATTTTTACAAAGCTCATCAGTCTGAAAAGCGAGGTGTGCTCTGATTGGCCAGCTATCCAGTGCGTTGTGATTGGCCGAATACCTCAAGCGTGTGATGGAAATGTTACGCCCTTTACCATATTGTGATGCCTGCCGTGTCCCGGCGCGACAAGTCAAAACCAGTAAAACCCATTATAAACGAGGCATTTGTAGCATCCAGTGGGGCCATAATTATGGATTATAATGACTTATACTGTCTTTTTACGCGTTGCGTTGCATATCGCACCGCGTCAAGAGCTTGTAACACTCCAAAGCGAAAGGAAAAATAGAAATCGCATCATATGACCCCTTTAAGTAATCAAAGCAGTTTTCATTAAATTAACAAAGGAATGATATTTATTTTAATTATGTTTTAATTAAATGTTTTACTATGTTAAATACCACATTTTCATGAAGCCTTCCTTGATTTTTGAGTAACAAAGTGAACAAACTGTGAACAAGTGAACAAACAATGCACAACGATCCACCTTTGCACATGTTCTGGCCATGACCATTGTTCCACAAGGTGGGGTCACCCTGTTTGCGATCCTACTTCCTGAAGTACATCCAGGTCGACCCCGACCACTCCAGCCCAATCCCTAAAGACCCAACAGTTAGGCATTTGGTATTTGGGGTAGTGGAGTCCATGTTCTTTTCTTTCACCTCTTGACCTTTGCCAGTTCTTCCTTCCCTACTCCTTGATCCAGCTTGGACTTGGTTCCATGGAGTGAATATGGAAGGTCAGTGAGATGGCAAAATGGAATGATATTTTAAGCAAATGATGGAATCATCTGGATGTAATTAAGCAGCAAGTTTATTATGAAGGACAGGAGAATCACCTTGGCCGAGGGAACGAGGTTGCGCAGTGCAGGATTAATGTGGTGACCCGGTGTCTGGGCACACTACATGAGGTTTACAGCCTGTCGGTCTGTCATCTATAGGATAGACCGCTTATGCTTGGATCTCCGCAAATATACCTTCTCTTGTTCCAGATAAATCTGCCGTCGGAGGACATAGCTTCACAGAGACATTTGTATTTTTTCAAACACCTCATCGGTTTGGTGTTTCCAACAAAAGGCTCAAACAGCCATCGTGCTGTATGATGGTTCTTCTGCAAGCAAGTAAATGTAACATCAAGCCAGTGTTGCTTCTGAATATTGACTAACCTTTAGGTTCTTGAAATGGAAAGGGCAACAGGTGGTACCATGACCAGGAAGAGCCCATTTGGCTAATAGCTTCCCTGTGAAACTTAAAGGTTTTTTAGTGGAGGAAACAGCAATATGTTTCATGGAAGCGTTCGCAGATGTGAAGGCTTCCAGGTAGCACACACCCAATCCGAGGTGGGATCCAGGGCCAAATCTCTCCATACCTTTGCTCATGATGAGATGTAGGTTTGGGCAAAGTCCCATATGCATCGTTCAACCCATTAGATATTGGACAGAAGCTGGTTTTCAAGGCTAGCAAAGTATGATCTTCTTAGATGTAACTGTTCACAAGTTGACTGACAAAATGGTGCATATATGAATAATTTGAAGTTCTCAAGTGTTTTCTTTGGTCAAAGGCACATGCAGGTTCTCTTGTGAAAGATCAAAGTGCAGCGCAGTGCGTCTCAGCTGTTCTCTAGTCTTTTAGAAGTGTGGGATAAAGTAAGGTAAGACTGGGGACAAAGGGTGGGAGACGGAAACATTTCTGTGTGAGGTAAGGCAGATGAGGGAAGGAGACATGCTGGCGAAATGTTCTGGTTTTCTGTCTGGAGAGAAAGGAATGGGTTCTTTCATCCCTCAAGGAGAGCGAGACATGTCGTCACAACAGACATCGAAAGGTGCCTCTTTTTTACAACCTTTCATTTTTTGAGACTGGTTGGGAAAGGATACAGAATGCAGGCAAATGTCTAGTTGTCAGACAGTGAAGGTAGTTATTGCATTGTTTTTCTTGAAGGGATAGATCACCCAAAAATAAATTCAGTCTTGCGTCATTCCAAACCTGACATTTTTGAAAAAATGTCTCTTTTTTTTTTTTTTTTTTTTTTTTCAA